AAGCACATGTTGCTGTTTGAGTGCCCTGTAGGAAAGTGTGATTATGAAATACTGCTGACTGACTGACCGAATCTATAAAGCTGTAAATAATGACTTAATGACTGACGGATCAACCCATAGATTAAACCACTCATCGTAGGGATGTGAAATTTGGAGGTTCGCTTTGCTTGTGACAAAGGTAACAGATTAAGATATCTTTCAGAAAGTAGGCATCGGTCTATCTATTTGAGAAAACGAGCTTGGTGCATGGGTACCAAAGTTGACATTGGGAACACTTTTTCTAACGGAAAATGCGCCTGGTATCGCTCTCTTCTAAAATATAGTAATTAAGATTCAATTTGTTTCATATTTGGGAAATGTACAGGTTTTGTCTGGGTAAATATGTGGAGAACTTCGACTTCAATGGACCTATCTATTCGAAAAAATCATATTTAGGGTTCGCTTTGCTTTGATATTTCGAAAGAAAAAATTATTATATTTTAAAATAATATTTCATATGAGTTCTACCATTAACCAAATATTAATAGAACCATTTAAGAATTTGAACCGGACGAAGTCCCGCGCAAAATTTAGCCATAAATAAGAAATAAAACTGAAAGGCCACAGGACTATTCGAGTAATAGTGAATCGGCCTCAGAAAGATATCGTTCTCGTTATTGCAGTAAATGTTGAAATGAATATAATTTTACGGTAATGCAATTTAAAGATTTCTATTTAACGCCATTTACAAAAAAAAAACAAAATTTACTCAACAAAACAAAAAAAAACAAAAATTTCTCAAGACCTTATTGGACGATTTATTCAAATTCTGGATATGTTGCAGGTAATATTAGTAACTTTTATGAAGAAATTGAGACCAATGTAAGTTTAAGAGCTAACCACTTCAGTCTAACGGTCTTTTGACCCATAAGTCTTAGCTTTTTTTCTTAAAAATCTCCGAAAGACTGCTCGATGGCTTTATAAGCCTAAAATTACCACCAGAAATCCTCTCGAGGAAACAACACGCCTACTCTTAAGGCAAGTCTGTTGATACAACCCAAAATTATTTAGTCGGGTGAAGGGGTGAAGCGAAAGAGGAATTCCCTTGAAAACGCTTCTTTTTTGAGGCGCTTTTAACAAAATCGCTCAATTCGTAACAGAGGGAAAAAATGAGTATGCAACACAACGCAGTGAATCATTACCACTTCTTGTGGTGGACAGTTGTGGTGCCTTGATACCTGCGCGATACTACTTTGATTGTCTCGCTGCGCTAGCCTCTTCGAAAATTGGAAATCTCGTTGACTTTGTCAAGTACCCGAAATGGTTCGATCATTTGCAAAGGTGACGTCAGGAGGCTCACAACGGTATGACATTGAAGTTGTTAACCTTAGTGCGCTGGTAATAACCGCTTCACCTCAACTCAACTTAGCAGTGAAAATAGAAAATGCCGAGGCTACATTCAAAATTGTTGTAATTTGAATTTTTAACCAAAGAATAGTTCTGGAGAAATTGTCGAAATATTTTTTTATTTTTTTTACCCTCAATTTTCTATGGACTTTATGTATCGTAATTTTTAAAAACGGCATGACTTATAGAAATAAAAAAATTAAAAATCGAATTTTCTCCAGAGAAAAATTTCACCATACTCATTGCTCTTGAATTTAGGAAATCTGGCTGAATAAAGTTATTTGATTTTTTTTGTTTGATTTTGATTATTTCAAAATTGTATAATTCGTCAACTTAAAGATAAAATTTTATATCTATAATCAAAACAAAAAATAAATAATTGGAAAAATGCCCCAAATTTCCTACAGGGTCGTTATCTTTGTGATAAGAAAACCATATGCTTGTGGAAATAAGGGTAGAGAGTACGGGTATGCTCACATTCAAATGTACATACTTACATACCTATGTATAAACTTTTTTTCAAAGAGACACATAAGAGTAGTGAACGAAAGCTGCTACTTTGAAAAATGATGTTGTTGACAGCAGTTGATGCCAGCGACACCTGTTGCAGCCACTAGTGATTTGCTCTTTTATTGCGTGGATATTAGATTTATTGTATGTATGTATTGTATCAAGATATGAAGCAATCGACGGAGAATCGGATACATTTGTTATATTGTTGTTGTGTTAATTTCTTGTCCATATACTTATATGTATACGGGGTATTGTGTAGTTGTTGGCATATAACAAAGTAAATGTGATTAATCAACCAGCAAAGAATTGATTTTTCTTTTTATTCAAGTTTAATTGTAATAAATTAAATGAGGCAAGCATACAAACTGTTGATTTCACACACGCATATCGTATTGAAGTGAATTTTATTGTTATCGATAGATAATCAGGCATTATTATTTTAGTATTTATGATTCTGATTTCTATCACCTCAAAAAGCGTAAGTTATGATTTATGAGCTTAGCTGAGGTGAAATTAAAACTGCTTTTGGGAAAGATGAACTTAAACTAAAAATACAGTAAAATTATTCATGACTTTCGGTGGCTATAAATATTTATTTGAAAGTGTTTTGATGGAAATCATAGCCTATGAAGGTAGAGGGAGCCCCTCCTGCGGGTTGGGGGTACAATAATTTACCCGCGGGAAGGCATCCCTGTCTTAAGAGGCGACTAAAATTCAATACTTCTCGCGACAGTCGGGTATACCGGAACGTCCTGGATTTTTATCCGGCCAAGGACTGTCACTTCCGCAACATCCCCAAAATTCTTTGTGTAGAAACAGGTCCTTCGCTTTGAATAACCCTTTTCACTATAAATTATTTCATTTGGATCTCTTGTTCTGAAATCGCGATTGGTTGGCACTAACTGGCATTAGAAAGATAATACTTCGTACTAACAAAGACGGTAGGAGAAATGTTGATCACTTAAGTCAGTGGTGTTTGAGCGCATGTCACGGATGGGCACCAGCAAATAGAAGAAAATATAAATTCTACAACTTTTCTTAGGTAAAGGCGAAAACGAGCGTCAAGCAGCTGAAAATATGAAGAGTATTTATGGTTCTGATACCCCAACAGTCAATCTTGCACAATTCTAATTTAAAGAATTTAAGTACCGGTTTCCATCTGCGACACACTGCTGTATCGGAACAAAACCAACTCATTTCTGATGCGTATAGTGACTGGTGACGAAAAGTGATTTACTTACGGCAACGTCAAATGAAAACGATCTTGATCAAAGCACAGTAAGTCGAAAAAACGGAAGGTTTTGTTGTGAAATTGTTGAGATTGGCAAGGAGTTATCCACTATGAGTTGATCCAATTCTATGGCAAATTTATTAATTAGAACCTATGCTCTCAGCTGTTGAACCGTCTGAAGAATGTATGCGTACAGGAGCATCAGGTACAGAAAATGAATTTTCATCAAGGCGTTGCCAGATCACACATATCAATATTTACACGCCGAGATCTTCGAGATTGAAATTTTATTATAACTATATCCATTCACCTTATGGCCGTGGCTCCTTCCTATTGAGGACGTATTGGCTGTAACGCTGCCGCCTGCAAATGTGAAAACGGCATTGGAAATATGAAAATAAAAAGAGTCATATGCTATCAAGTGACCTTCAACATATTGAACGAACGGAAGGTGCATCGGATGTTGATGAAGTTTTAGATATTGGAGCACCTGGACTCAATAAGCCTTCAAAAGAGATCCATTTGCTAAGTTCTAAGCAAAGTGGTACCAAAATATTAAATTCCATAGAATGCCTTGGAGTCCTTAACGAAGTATTAGACAAAATCCATCCCTGAGAAGTGCTTGCAATATTCTATTCACTTTGCACAATGCACGAGCGAGTGACAGGTGCGAGTTATTTTGTACGCTACCGAAACCGTTTAATGAACTCGCTGCACGAATTGTTCTACAAACTGTTATTTGATCAGAAATTCATGCGTAATTTTCGTCTCAACCAGATAAAAAAGATGATTTACCTTCATTAAGAGTTTTTCATGGATTTGAAATAAGCAGACGTGGCTTAACTTTTACATTTTTAAGTCGAAAATTAATTTTCGAAAGTATAATCTATGCATTACTGACGACCGCAATCGCCTAATACTTAGGATTTCATATTGCCTCTCGGAGCCTCATAGGTTCAAATCATACCAGCCGTAACAAACTTTTGAGGAATATTTTTGTTTGCCAATTTTTTCGAACACAAACGCAAAATTTCCTAGATAGCAGTTCTTCATTTTCTAAGGCGTGATATACACAAATTTTGAATAACATTCTCATGTAGAACTAAACTGATGATGATGATTCGACATTAGTCTTTAATAACACTTTTCGATGATTGTATTTTCATAGATTTCATTCAATGACTCCTGAGAAACTTACCTTCGGCTCCAGTTTTGTTAGAAATTCCTCGAATAGATTTTGTTGTCACGCTTTTAATACCCAAAACAATGGAAAAATGACATTATTCAATCACTTAACAACAACTTAAGACTTTTATCTTATAGTGAAAACGGGTTTAAAGGTTTGGTCATAGATGCGCACAGACTTCTGGAGAAGAGACAGTGTAACCAATAACCTAGAAAGTTTTCCTCCAATCAGCTCCGTATAAATTTGGAATAGCTCTTTAAGACAAATTAAAAAAAGGAAAGTCAAGAGATTAAGCGGAGGAGCAAGGAGCAAGAAGGTTGTTAGCTGTTAAAAACTATAAAAGAAATCGGTTATGCTCATGCCCAAATGATTTCCAATGAAATTTATAAGATCAATTTTCCCGAACTATTAAATATGCCGATTTTTGGCTTCAATCAAAAACTCAGAGATGGTGACACGAGGGTCCAACAGATGTCTATGGGGTAGAGAACTGCTCTTAGGATATGGGATGACAACTAGGTCTAGTTTTTAAGCATTCCAATATCTGAAAATTTAAAAGTGAGGAGGCTTTCCGATATACCATCACATTAAGTTATCCTAGATGCCAAATATAAAAATGAAATAGATATTTTAGTACTCTGCAGTTCTAATGACATTTTTTGTATTTTCTTTCTTTTCGTTCAGGTGCTCGCCATGTGGGGTGTTATGCGATTTTACAATTTGGTGCGTTCTGGCATCACATGGAAAGGTCCCGAGGTAATTGAGCTAAGATATAACGCCAACGACTCTCACCAAGTCGAAGCACGCTTACCAAGTAGTCACACATATCACATCTCCTCCCATTACCAATCGCAGGCAAAAACGACGGCGGCGACCGCCACAACAGCATATCATCACTGCAATGGCGGCGGCAGCGGTAGCGGCAGCGGTGGCCACAAACAGCGTCGCAACAACTACATCGCCGACGTGGAACGCAAGCCAACCGGCTGCTGTTTCTTCGATTTCGATGATTACGACGAAGATGATGATGATGAGGAATTTGGCGATGATGATTATGATTATGACGACTACTATTATGACGATGATGAGGATGATAGTTCCGATTGTACGATACTCGGCGGCAATACGCTGCAACACAAGCGTCCATGCAACCGCAGTCTACGACCGTCGCATATGCACATACCTACACATACAACGCGTCCGCGCAACAACAACATACGCACAGTATTGATTAACAAACGTCACAACAAGTACAAAATCGCACAGCCACAAACGCGACTCGAAGTGATCAACGAGTCGGAGCGCAGTGCGGGCAGTGGTAGTGATGAGAACGATTCGCTGCTGGTCGCTTACGATAGCACGTCGTCGTTGGCGTCGGTTTGACATTGGCCGGCGTGCGGTTGTAGTTGCTTTGGAAATGCGCGAACGAACGATGGAAGCAGCAGCGGCAATAAACCGTGCGACGACGTCGGCGATAATGAAGCGGAAACCACGCAACCAGCCGATAGCGAAGCGGCCGAATTGCAGGAATTGCAGATGCAAATTTGGCAGCGTCAATGGTTGCGAAGACAAGAGCGGCGCCAGCGAAAATGGCAATACCTGCATCAGTGTAAGCGCAGACGTCCACTGCGTCGCGTCTACTGCATTGTGAATATTGCGCTGATGTTGGTGCTGGTCGCGGTGGAAATATACGCACAAGTCATTATATATCTATAGAAAGTTTTCAGTTTATTTATAAGAATTTCTTTGCATGAAAGTTTAAGAGCTTCCATTAAAAAAATAGAACAGCTTCAGTTTGCCAACATATCAACGCAGCAGTAATCACCATTCCCCAGTTAATTTTTGTTAGACATCTTAGACTTTTTCATATTATCCTCCTTTGCAGTTGTCACAGCCATGGGTTGGATTCAGATAAAGAGCTCAAGCGTCAAGCGGTTCTTCATCCAATCTTGCTGTATCTTCTTTAGGCATAACTAATCGCTCTATCCTTCTTAGCGAACGCCACCGCAAGTGACATTCATTTCTTACTAGGTCTGTCCTTCTAAGGCTCTTACTATCTCTTCACATCTAGTGATTGGCATGATTTTGTTTCTCTTCACTGTCGGTGTCGGTGCTAGCTGTTCGGCGAGAGATGTTAAATGAAGAAAGGTCCTTTTCCATCTAATCTTGTCAACGGAGTGGGGATATTTGCTCTTAATTTGCTTCAATCGGTACTACATCGATTACTTTCAAAGCTGTGCTGGTTTCATTCATCCCAGCAACATCGCCTAGCCCAGCGGCTGTCTTTCAATGGCTACATTATATGAATTTAGTCACACATCTCTTGAGGGTAGTGGAGTATGGTAATGATAAGCGACTTGTAGAGCTTAGTCCTCGACAGGAACCTTCAGCAAATAACCTAAGGCCTATTACTCTTCCCGTACTCTATAGTACTTCTTTTTAATCTTTTACTTAGATTCCACAAAATATAAAAACTTCCAATCAGACCGACCATATGAACGGCACATATCCGGGGTTCAAAATGTGCATGCACTCTCGGGACGGTTTTTTTTATCAAGATACCCCAGCATAATAAAAAACGCCCGTTAACAAACACAAAGTTCTCAGCTGAAAAGCGCCACTCATAACAGACAGCTTAACTGATTTCTATGCGGGTGACGCTCTCTGAAGACAGGTCAGCAAAAGGAAATGAAAATCCTATCGCCACCTCAGGAAATTTACTTACAGCAGCCAAGCAAACGATTGGTTTGCGGTAAGCTTAAGAAAAGAGCTTTTCAATATGCGCACTCAATGTGAGGGATAAGCGATAGAAGATAAGAGTGACAATCTAGCAAAGTTACGATCGACTATAATACGTGTCGTTGACAGTTGAGACAAACGAGATGCATTTGCATACAGAAAAAGGGAAAGCGCAAAATGCGAGGTACAAAAGGTCTCAATTACCGTATATGCGAAAAGAAATTGTCCTGACTAACATAATATGTAATAAACTCTTCTCTAGCCAGCTCGGCTGCAGCAGGAACAAAACGAATGAAGAATTCACGCTCTTATTTCCAACAGAATATGATGTTATAGACGTTCCATCAGCTGGCCACGACGAAATACGAAAAGAAAAGAAATGTATGAGTGCTTGAAAACTCCTCAGTACCAGCTTATTATAGAGGATTAAGTATTCTTAATATCATATATGAGATTCAAGAAAACATCATTAACGAACTCAACGGACCACATCAGTGTAGATTCGAAACTGCTAAATCTTCCAATAGATTTTTAACCTGAAAACATAACCGTGAAAAACCGGACCGGCCACACCAGCTCTTCCTCGTTTAAAAAGCGGATAAACGACAGTCTTAATGCTGCTGACATTTACATTTTAGAATCGAAAAAAAGCTTTACTTGTAACTTAATTGATCTCATCAAGTCATTATGTGTGGAACGAGATCCAAATTGACTTCCTATCGCTCGATTTCTTCAATCTAATGCGAGCTAAAATTTTATTTGAAGGGTAAACCATTTCTAGGTTTGCAACTTTTTTAAATAAAAAAAAACACAGAAATTTAAAATTCAATGGAAAATATTTACTATTATTAGAAAAAACATTACTTGGCTTTCATTTTTTGAGGATTATCTCTTTCAAATAATGACCGCGGCTTTGCCTCAACAGTTTGAGTTTCATGTACTCGTTCGAGTATTTCGACTAGTAACTGGTACAAGTCAAGCGTGATGTCTTTCACCAGGGCCCAAATCAATGTGGGGTTGTCCGCTTAGACTTTAGACTTTAGACTTTACATATCCTCATAGTAAAAAGTTTAACGATATAAAAGTGGTGGCCAATCGAATGATTCGAAACGTGAAAATGTCTGCTCACCGAAGTGTTCTGTGAATAAATCCATTGATTGATGCGATGTGTGGAAAGTGGCGCCGTCTTGTTGAAACCAAATATCGCCTTCACTCTGATGGCAAGTTCAAGTAGAGTGAGACTAAGTGCAAATACTTTATAGCAAGACATTTAGTCCTCCTCCTATGGAGGGCACTTAGATCAAATCTCTGTTCTTCCTTTAACTAGAATAATTTTCAGATAAATTCAACGGACCTCTGTTTGGGTCTTGGTTCCTTTGTTGGCGTTTTTCGTCCTCTTGGGCCCCTTACAAATCATTTAAATTTAAAAGTGTATACTTTTGGTATCATTTTAGAAATATTTAATATATAGTTTCCGCTGTTGAAACGATCAGATTGCAAAGACTGGTACCAGTCGGCATACAAATACAACTCAAAGACCCGGTTGTTGGTTTTTTTGTAGCGGGAACAATATATCCAAAAGTCGCTTTTGGAGAAAATTGCCTAGGCCGGATAAAAATTCTGGTAGTTGCGCAATAAATTTGGTAGAACTTTCAGCTATTAGTAGCCTCTTACGACAGGCATGCCTCTTAGCGGGAAAATTTTTGAAACCCTATAACACAGGGGTACTCAAAGTGCCCTTTTTTCCCTCGCTGAGATAAAAAATATTTTCCAGTGCAACTAGGGAACACAGACGTTCACAACTCGTATGCAAATAATTTGCTTTACTCAATCATTTATATATACTTATAGATCACGTAACATAATTCACAGCTAATTAGAGCGATTAACCAACCAAATTAGACCACACGGAAATGAGTGTTGCCCTCAAAAGACGAACTTTTCTCTTTACCAGCCTTTGATATCTCTCAACAATGATTGCTTCCTACAAAGTGGCCATAAACTACGTCCTCCTCCCACTTCCACTACTCAATTATACGCCAAAGATATTGGTAATTACAAATAATTGTACGCACGTGTAGGTGTTACTACTCCGAAACTATTTAAAATGCGAGAGCCGCCCTAACAAACCGATTTCCGCACGAAACTGCAACGAACCCAAAGAGAGCCAGTTAAGCTCGTGCTTTTGATTTATTGACTCTATGTGGGCACTTGCTTGCCTTGTACTCGCATCAGGCATATCCGGCTGTTTGGTTAATTGTTGTAAAACAACAAAAAGCGAGCGCATTTAATTGCGAAAAGTGTTGTTGTATGAATTTCAATGAGGCACATTTCAAAGGCCAAGCGGCTTAATGCAGAGAGAGAAAAAGCGAAAAGTTTTAGTTTTGAGTTTTATGAGGCGATTTTTGGCGTAAATTTACAATATGAATGGTGATTACCACAACAAGCTGATTGCTTTTACGACTACAAATATACAAGAGAAGAAAGCGGGTAAACAAGAGATTTGTAATAAATATAAAAAAATATATTAAGTTTTGTAAGTAGTTGATTCAAAGGAGCTTTGAGATAAGAGAAAAGTTTGAATACAAACTTATACATATATATATATATATATATATATACATATATAATAAGGATTAAGCCATACACAAAGTGCACAAAGCCAATGAATTACATGAATACTTATTGCGTAAGCATTATGAGACCGTTATATTTTGTGTTGCATAAAAAAAAATACAAAAAATCAAGAAGAGAAAACATAAAGCTTATAAAATTTGTGTACAACTTAGTCTATAGATTAGTGTAAGATACGAGTAATATATATATATAAGTATTTAAGTATCGAAGGAGCAGTCGAAAAATAAAAGAAAAATGAAGGTAGCAGGACAATAGCAGAAAAGTAAATAAGTATTGACACCATGCAATTGTATGTATGTATATGTAATTTAATTAATAAATAAATAAATGCTTTATACTGATGCTGATGCATATATATTTGTATATATATGCATATATGTGCATATAAACATTATAAATCCTTTACATATTGTATAATATGTATGTAATAAAATAATAAACAAAATATAATAATAATATATTAACAGACAAAAAGTAGCTAAATATAAATTAATTCTTACTCTACTCTAATAAAATAAAAAATAATAAAAATAATAAATATTAGTTAGCTGCAATTATAAGATAATCTGATATATACATATATGGTAAAAAAAATATATATTTAAATGTAAAACAATTGAATTCAATTCTTCTAAAAAATTGTAATCACTTTAGATAATTTTATTAATTTGTCCAAATCTGATAATTTAAAAATTAATTGACCAATAAATATATGAAAAAATGGCACACATAATCACATAATAATCATAAATAAAAACCCCCAATAGCTTCACGAGCTCCATCTATGAGGGCTACAATTGACGTTGGCCTACTGGTGTAGACCACAATATTATTATCTCTCACGTGGCCTCAAAGGAAGAGGTCGCTAGGTATTAAACCATAAGTCTCGGTAACTAATTGTGATCATCTCTTTGAGAGACAACACGATCCGGTAACTTTTCACTTATAAGCTCGATAGTTTCGATGCTGGTGTTGCATGAAGCGCCGTGTTGTTGACAATAAATATTTTTGCTCTAGCTCCATTCTTAAAAATGTAAGGTCCAATGATCACACTGTAGCAAAATCCGCAGCATGCAGTTACGCGTGGAGTTTGGAGAGGCTTTTCAATGATAAATGAGATGCCACAGTTTTGTTTGTAGACGTAGCCAACGAAGTGGAAATGGACCTTATCAGACAAAATGATTTTTCATTGAAACTCTAAATAATTTTCATATATTTCAAGAACCCACACACGACATTGTTAAAGATTGACCGGCTGTAGAACTTGTCTTAACTAAACTTTATAAGCCTTAAGACCCAACTCTATAGGAAAATTCGGTGTAATGACGTTTGTGGCAATTCCAAAGAACGGCGAGAAATAAAAACACCTGAGGTTTCTTCAAGGCTACAGCAGCAATATTGTCAATTGTTCTTGAGCGAAATGCGCGAGTTTTATTATTCACTTTACTACATTGTTCCAACCCTTCCAGGTTTTTCACCAACGACTTGCTTCACGACAATCGAAAAATGTTTTAGTTTTCGTCTCTGCTGGATTTTCACCATCACCTGCACTTTATTGTTTTTACAGCGGGCAATTGCTACTCGAAATTTTTAAAAGTTGGCCAATTAAATATCAGTTCCATTGTCTTCGTTTGGGAAATTGGCTTCTTCACCACCTGGTGTTTCATTTGCACTGTCATTCAGTGGCCTGGAAAAGTGTTCTCTCCAAAAAAGCAGTAGATTCTACGCATAACTCACTAGATGTCTTATTTGTGTCCCACGAAAGTATTCTTCGATCTAAAAACTTTCTGTAAGTCACA